GGACATTTTATTTAAAAAACTCCCTTTGAAATTTATTTCGCATTATTATGTGTGTATTTATTTTTAGGGAATTCTAAAATATTAAGCCTTTTTTTATTTCCAGCTCGTTGATTCCCTTCGATAGGTTGTTACCACTCAAAGTCTATGGTAAAAAAAAAATTTGGACCTGCGAATGGAGCGATCACCATGATGATTTTCTTTCCTGCCTAAGGCTAGTCATAGTGGAAGTAACTTAGCTAGTAACATAGCGCACTTCAAGAAATTTTTGCTCATGTGGCAAGTATTTAATGTGAGGTGGTAACATAATATGTTACTGTAACATAGCGCTTCCCAAGAAAAGATAAGTCTACAAACTAATAAATGAAACCATCTATAATAGTAATATCATAGTTACTTTGCGTTATGAAGGTAGTAGGTTAGATTAATGTCATGCATATGACATTAGTCTAAGTTACTCCCCACTATGACTAGCCTAATCCTCATGCATGCAGTTATCGCGCTAGAAGATCTAGAAATAAATGGTGCATGCAGTAGAGAGTCCCCATGATATGGAAAAGAATCAGGCGCATGCGAGGGGAGATAATCAAGGTAAGAAATCCCGTGCATGCAGGGATGCATAGAGAAGGGATGAGATCATGCTTGACATGCAATATACTTAGCGCGAGATTAATGATTTTGGGGCCCCACTTTTTTAGGGGGGCATGTGCGGTCACCCACCTTGGCCACCCTTATGGACGGCCCTGCTCCTATCCAGTTGAAGGGATGATGACAGTCCAGGCCTAATACCACAGATCTTGCAGTCAAGCCTAACATTTAAGACCAGAGGCCCCAATCAAGCCACTTGCCGGGTATGGGGCACACACCGATCCGGCGCGCTCTCTGAGGCCGCCGCCGTCAACTACCACCACTCCATCAGAGCTGTACTAACGCATCAACCTTGCCTGGTCTAGCTGTCGTCGATGCCACCACGACGCCCAACGGCACCACCTCCCTGCGCGCGAACTACTGAACACGTCACGGTCGCCACCGGTACACCTCAGCACCATCAGGCCAAGTACCACCAGCCGACACAGCTTGAAGTCTCTGGAAAACCTGTCGTGGGTAGCACCTGCCGACCATGCATGGCAAAGCGTAGCACCTGTCGACCGGGCATGACTTGACATCTCCACCGAAGCTTCGCGCAAGACAAAGCCGCTCCACCTCCTACCTCAGCGCTGCTCCACAAACGATGCTCCCAAGAGAGAAACGACACCGCAGTGTCGCCATCCTCTGATCTGAAAGACCCGATCCTAGGGTTTCCCTAGAGCAATACGAGTGGGTCGACAGTAGTCACATAAGGATGCCTTCATCAAGATAACGACGCAGAACACCGCCATCGCCCACCGTCGGCTTGGTTTTCACCGGCCACTATGTCTCCCCGACTCGCAATCGGTACTAGATGATGGATTCGGAGATCTGAACACCCAGTCTCAGGCTGACCATCTCTGACGGTAGAGATGACCACCACCGCCGGATGCACCGGTCAGAACAGATTCGACCAAAAGTGCTGCCGACGAGATCACCAGGCCCTCCACACCGCAGCCGCCGATCTGAAGGTGGATTGCACGCCACCGCAGCCTAGCCGGCCACCACGCCGACCACAGCCGTCGCCGCGCCCGAAATCTATGACTGGCCGCCCGCTGCGCCTAGCCGCCGTCGTCCGAGGACGGGCCGGCCACCCGCCGCTTGCCGCAGCCATCCACTGCGCTGGAGAAACCGAATCGGCCGCGCCACCATACGCCTAGGGGTCCCACACCATCCCGAAGACACGGGAGAGAGGAAATCCCCCGCCACCACCGTCAGCCCCCGGGCTTAGCCCGGCGGCGCCCCCCGGCGGCGGCGGAGGGAGATGAGGAGGGAGTGCGCGGGGGTGGCGGCTAGGTTTTTGGGCTCCGGTCGAGTCGCCCTAGGGGGGGTGACGCGGGGCCTGGGCCTGGAGATACGCGAGGGAGTGCTGGTAGATGGCCACCGGCCATTTTTTACCGTTACAATTTGGATCGGAGCCACACAGAAACAACTAAGGTACATGATCTGAAGTTCTGAGCTGGCTACTAAAGCATCAAGGATTCAAGGACCCTGTCTTGTGTCAGGACTTCACCCACAACCTCATAATGAAAGGACACGAACCGAATAACGCAATGTTTGTACCCACGTCTGCCCATGTCTATGTGACTACTATGCGTTTACTCAATTGATACGATTAAGATCTCAGTTGCTAAGAGGTGTTCAAGTGCTTTGTATAGCGGTGCCCGGCTGTCCATGTCTATGACTGCTATGCGTTTACTCAAATGATACGATCAAGATCTCTGTTGCTAAGCTCGTGCTTAGCTTACCTTAGCTCCTACCTCCTGTTTAGCTGTTTTGAGCTTCTCTTGTATAGCTGGAATCCCCAGCTAGCAGAGATAGTGTGCGCGTTACCTTTCTATGTTTTTCGGTTGTCAATTTATTTATAAAGCGGCACACAAGCTTTTTTGGGTATAGCGGGGTCGATCCATTGTCAAACTTACATGAAGTAACTTTTTTTTTTCAATTTAACTATACACAAGTCCCGTGAATATTAATTTTGGGTCAGTCGATTTTTTGGACAATGATTTTTGCTTTGAGATTCGTACTGTTCTGTGAGCTGGCTTAGGTTTTGTGTTTTGACTGACCACGTATTTGGGTCGGTCAACTTTCTACTGGGCTGAGGCTCACCTATGCTGCCCAGCCTTCCTCTCTACCCTTTTGTTTTTTCTTTAAAAGAAAGCTCTTTTATGTGTTTCTCCTCTTGTTTTTTGTTATTCTTTATTAGTTGGATTTTTATTCTTTTCTTTGGTAGGTGTTTTTGGGTGTTGGGTGAGTATAAATATATACATACAAATACTACACAATGTGTCTGAATATTACACTATCATATGATTGTTGTTTGTATACCACAAAAGTGTAATTTTAGTGCAAGTTTTTTTTCACATTTTTATTATATTTATTTTTAAAGAGCAATAGCAATGCCACTAATTCGTTGTTCTTTTATGAAAATTTCAGCATTATAAGTGCAATTTTCTTGTATATTGTGTGCATTTTTTTATTTTTTGTTGTAGATTTTTTTTCGTTTTTCTTTTTCTTAATGGATAATACCAATGTCATCAATTCATTCTTTCTTAGAAACCCTTATTGCTTTGATTTTGTTTTAGTTTGATTTCATATTGTTTCTTCTTAAAGGGTAATACCAAGCTACTAATTCATTCTTTCCTAGAAAACTTCATTATTGATTCTATTTCAGTTCTCATTTCTTTTTGTTTTTCGTAAAGGGTAATACCATGCCAGTAATTCGTTCTTCCTTACAAAACTTTATTATTTTGATTTTATTTTAGTTTTTGTTTCAATTTATGTATTCTTTAATGGTAATATGAATGCCACTAATTCATTCGTTGTTAGGAAACTTCCTTTTTTATGAAAATTTCACTATTATGTGTTTTCTTTTGCATATTATAGAAAAGTGTAATTTACGTATAAATTGTGTGCAAATTTTGTCATTGTTTATTGTTTATTTTAATTTTCTTAAAGGTTTATATGAATGTCACTAATTCAATCCTTCATAGAAAACTTCTATTATTTTAAAAACAATAAATCATATGAAGCATTTGACAAAATGATGTATAAAAAATATAAACTATTGAATTGAAGTAAACCGGGTGCCATTTTAAGCAAAAGTGTGTAACACGATCTACATATATTTGCTCTAAGCGTCCAATGTATATACCATTTATGCCCACACAAAAATTAGTGAAACAATGAGCAGATTAGTGCAT